GGCAAGATTCGATCTGCTCCATTAATCAAGGGTGGTTTATCCCTTCCGCATAACGTGCCTGAAGTCAAGGTCACAAACAAGAATGATGAGCCTAGCTCGGTGGGTGTGATTTTACCTGTTACGCATGATGTAGTGGGGGGGTGTGCTACAAATTCACCCAAACAAATATCAGGGCCACGTCAACATGAAGTCTCCCTCTCTCTTAATGAGTGCAATCCCCCTGGCACCATGCAGGCCATGCAAACCTCAACGCAAAACCGTAAACCATCTCCCATCAGGACTGAAACCCGGGTTCGCAACCCTCTGGCAGGAAAAAACAAACAATCATATCGAAGTGGTGGGGGACACAATATAGCTATTCCGGTGAAAGTAAAGAAGGGCCAATTCAAAGAACGATCTAACGCCCCTTTCAAGACAGCCAAAAGCATCCTTAAAGATACACCTACGGGTACAATACTGAATCAGCAAGAGAACTCCAGCAAAGTATTCAAAGGATTACGATTAATGACGAATAAAGCTACACCAGAGCTATTGCTACAGGGCATGGCTTCGCGAGTGTCTCTACCTGACGAGGAAACTCAAATCTATGCGGAGGCACTACGGAGGCATTTTGACCCGAAGCTAAGGAATAATCATAGTTTTTCTGCTAGTCAACCTTCTTTGGAAGCAAAGCATGATGGAAGTCCAGGGGTTTCAAAACCCAATAACACTAGTAGTTCCCAATGAATTGCTTAAGTTGGAACTGTAGAGGAGCAGGGGGAAGAGGGTTTTCCTCTTTGATGAATGACGTCATTAGGGAGTATAATGTTGGACTCCTTTGCCTTATGGAAACCCACATCAGTGGTGATTGTGTTTGGAAGGTTGCTCGTAAGATCTCACTTGATAAGTGTTTCATGGTGCAGGCTCAGGGACAAGCATGAGGGATTTGGTGCATGTGGGACTCGAGCAGATGGACCGTGGACATTTTGGAACACAATGCTCACCTCATTCATATCAAGATAAATGAAGGTGAGGACCCGTGGTTTTGCACTTTTGTTTATGTAAGCCCACACCCGCAAGGCCGTATTCCACTTTGGCGGGATATATCTCGGCTGGCGAGTCTGGTGGATGGAGCCTGGCTAGTGATGGGTGACTTTAATGCAGTACTACAACCCCATGAAAGAGAGTGAAGTATTAGCCAAACCCTCTTTAGAGGGGACCAAGCTTTTAAATCCTGCATTAATCAAACCAACCTCATGGATATGGGTTACAACGGAGCCCCTTTCGCATGGCGCCGTGGGAACCTATTTGAACGATTGGACAGGGCCTTGGTGTCGTATGATTGGTGTGTAAGGTTCCCGGATGCTTCGCTTTCACATTTAAATCCCCTAAAATCTGACCACACACCAATACTCATTAGATTTTCTGCAAACATGAGCGCCTAGACCTATCGTCGACCCTTTCGCTTTGAAGCTGCATGGATGACCCACAAGGAATTTCCGACCCTTATAGGCAACGTGTGGAATGCCAACGAGGGATGGAATCAACGGATAAATCATACGAAACACTCCTTACTTGAGTGGAATAAGTCCACATTTGGGAACGTGTTCTTCACAAAACGGAAACTTCTCAGACGTCTGAATGGAATTACTACAAAATTACTTCAAGGCCCTAACCGTTTTCTTGAAAAATTACAAATGGAATTATGGACTGAATTAGACGAAATTCTCAAGAGAGAAGAAATTATTTGGTTTCAAAAATCCCGGTGTAAGTGGCTTCGCATGGGAGATAAAAATACTAGGGTTTTCCACGGAACTACCATTGCTCGACGCCGAAGAAATAAGGTGTTTAAGCTGCTGAATGAAAATGGGGACTGGATGGAACAACCAGCCGAATTGGAAAGAATGGTAACTACTTTTTACAGAACGCTCTTCACTGATGAAAGGCACATGGAACCTTTCAGCTTGACTAATGCTTTCCCGAGACTTAACGAAGACGAACTCTCCACTCTGGAAACGCCCATCAGCAATGGAGAGATTCATAATGCAGTGAAGAGTATGAGTGGGTTCAAGGCTCCTGGCCCTGATGGACTACAAGCTGTGTTTTTTAAATCCCAATGGGACATTGTGGGTAATGCTGTGTGCAAATTAATCCACGAGATCGAAGCTGTACCTTCTAGAGTTGCCGATATCAATGAGACATTGATTGTTTTAGTCCCGAAAACGGAAAATGTCTCCTCTCTAAAACAGATGTGGCCTATCAGTTTATGCAACGTTTCGTACAAAATTCTAACTAAAGTCTTGGCTAATAGACTTAGACAGGTGATGGAGAAACTAGTCCATCCTAACCAGTGCAGTTTCATTCCAAACAGGCAGAGCAAAGACAACATCATAATTTTTCAGGAAGTAATTCACTCTATGAGATATAAATCAAGAGCAAAGGGATGGATGGCATTCAAAATTGACCTTGAGAAGGCCTACGATAGGTTGAAGTGGGACTTTGTGAAAGATACCCTTCTAGATATTGGACTCCCAGCACAACTTGTGAACATTATTTGGGCGTGTATTTCCTCTCCAAGAATGCGCATGCTTTGGAATGGAGAAACCCTTGATGAATTCCTCCCCTCCCGCGATGTTCGTCAGGGAGATCCGATCTCTCCATACCTTTTTGTCCTATGTATAGAGAGACTCTTCCAACTTATCACCAAGGAGGTTGAAGCGAAGAGATGGAAACCGATCAGACTGGCAAAAGATGGCCCCCCTCTTTCCCATCTTGCTTTTGCTGATGATCTTATCTTATTTTCCGAAGCTTCTATGAATCAAGCAGAAATAATCCGAGACTGTCTTGATCGTTTTTGTGCCAGCTCTGGTCAGAAGGTTAGTCTAGAGAAGACTAAGATCTTCTTCTCAAAGAACGTGGCACATACAGTGAGAGATGATATCAGCTCAGGCTTAGGTTTCCAACGTACAAATAACCTAGGAAAATACTTGGGTATTCCGGCCCACCACTCCAGAGTCTGTCGGAGAGATTACCAAAATGTGATAAACTGCGTAAATAAGAGACTTAGTGGGTGGAAAGCATCTACCCTCTCCTTCGCGGGCCGACTTACCCTATGCAAATCAGTCATCGAGGCTATACCAAGTTATACCAGCAAACAGTTCACATACCCCGGAGCATCTGCGATGAAGTGGATAAATTGTGTATGAGCTTCCTCTGGGGTGATAGCCCTACCTCAAGGAAAATTCATGCCATCAGTTGGAAGACTATTTGTATGCCTAAAGATCAAGGTGGGTTAGGTCTTCGGTCAATGAGAACGGTCAATAACTCCTTCATGATGAAGAATGGGTGGAGCTTAATTACGGAACCCAACAAGCTCTAGGTGAAAGTTATCCGCTCGAAGTACAAATGTCAAGATGGTGCAATACCCAGAGTTGAGAAGAAGGCTAATATGTCTAATTTGTGGCAAGGCATCTGCTTGAACTGGATACATGTCACTCCTCACGTTAAGTGGCGAGTAAAGGATGGTCAAGCTGCACGATTTTGGTTCGACTCTTGGATGCCACAACAGGTTCCGCTTATTCACTTTGCAACTACGTTCGTCCCACCTGTTGAATTGTTCCGGAAAGTTAGAGATTACGTGACTGATCAAGGAGCGTGGAAGAGTGATCAGATTCTCAATTGGCTCCCCCGGGAGTCCTTGAACAGTATTGAAGCCCAAACTCCTCCCACGATGAGCGCTGGGGCTGATGAAATTCAGTGGGGACTTACTACTGATGGACTTTTCACCATAAGATCCGCCTATGCAAGCTTGTCCGCATTTGACTCAAATCCTTGTGCCCCTATCTTCAAAGTCCTATGGAAATGGCAAGGACCAGAGAGAATCTGGCTTTTTCTCTGGCGCGTGGCCCACGAGAGCCTCATGACGAATGAAGCTCGCTTTGGTAGAGATTTAACGACCAGCCCAATTTGCCCTATCTGCATGCAGGACGTGGAAAATACCATGCATGTTCTAAGAGATTGTATTTTTGCTCGCCAAGTATGGAGTTCGATACCTAAGGGAAGTTGCATCAGTCAACCCACGGGAAGTAACTTTCAAGAGTGGCTAATCTTCCACCTAACCAGGAGTCGTACAGAGCTGATGAACTGGCCCCTCTCCTTCGCGATCACAATTGATGCACTATGGAACAGAAGAAACGAAGTTGTGTTTCAGCAGTCGTCCTTATCGGCAAGCCAACTAGTACTCAAGGTAACGAATTGTGCAAAGTCAATAATTAACAGTAGCACTCCATTTGATGCAGGAGCTCAGTCAGATTACACACGTATCACAAGGAACTGGGTTTGCCCTCCTTCGGGGTTTATCAAGTTAAATGGCGATGGGGCCGTTTTCATATTCGGGGACAAGCTCATGTGGGGGTTTAATTCGAAACCTAGATGGGAGGTGCATTATGGCATTCTCAAGAAAGCTAGACCGTTGCTCTGTCATTAAAGCTGAGCTATGGGCCATCACCCAAGGACTTCGACTAATTCACCTTAAAAAATTGGGTACGCACATTTTAATAGAATCTGATTCACTAGAAGCAATCACACTGCTAAGGAATGGCTGCCCCCGTCAGAATGAATGCTTTGACCTAGTTCAAGAGATATCAGAGTTAGCGGCTTCCTGTGAGACAGTTTCGTACCTGCATATTGGTAGGGAGGCCAACTTAGTGGCAGATCTCTTAGCTAAACAATGTAATATAGGAGAGGAGAATCTAATTATTTACGATTCGCCTCCTAGTTTCATCTTTCGCGCTTTAGCCGCTGATTTGGCGGGTGTTATCTGAGTTTGTTTTGGGCTCTTAGCCCCTTTCTTCACCAAAAAAAAAAAATATTTCTAAATTAAAGATTATAAAATTTTTCTCCCTCCTCAAAACTGAAAAAAATTTATAATTATTGAACAAATTAAAGAATGTGAATTGAATAATGTTGAGGTGGCATGGTACCTTTGATTTATAAAAGGCGAAAGCAACAGAACATTTGTTGTTGGGGAGGAAAAGAAAAAGAAAAAAAGAAAACGTGGAAGGCAGAATCGAAAGTCGAAACGTGCGCCTCTACCATCGTCTTTATAAATAAAGGCAGAAGCGACTCCATTTTCTTCCAAAGCAAGCTCTGAAGAGAAGAGAGAGAAAAGGTGGATAGTGCGATACAGAGTGTGTGTGACTGTGACTCTCTCTGTCTATCCATCTTCCTTCACTCTCCCACATTCACACCAGGCAAGACCCTCCCTTTCACCTTCCGCTGCATTTTCCACCATTCCCTATTTTTTACTATCATTTCCTTTCCTATTCTCCAAATGGAGCGAAACCGGACGTCACTTTTTTTTTTAGAGAGAGGACATAATCCAAGTCTGTCATGTCGGGGTGTAATTAAATAGGGAATGAAACTAATTTGTTTATTTAGGCGTTTAGAGAGATTTCAATTTGATTGTCTCGTCTATGATTTTGTACCCTGAAATCAGTGCTTGTTTCATGTTTCATGTTTCATGATTGATGGATGCTGTATATGATACCATATATTATATTTTATTGTATTTTCGAAACGGATATCAAGCTGCTGACTGAAATGATTTCGTTCTGATTATGTCTAATTAAGTATATTTTTTTTATATTCTTTATCGTTAAAATTTAAATTATTAAATTATGCCCCAAAGTATCGTTGTGGTTTTGTTTTGTTTCCTTTTTCTGGGGCTTGTTTTCTTAACCAATTTCGCCCTTTATTTGTTTGAGGAGTCATATATTTTGTACGTTGTCGGTGAACACAGGTCAGACCTAATTTATAAAACCAAATAAAATAGGAAAGAAAATCTTTTCCAGTTTTTCTCTTTAGGGGTTATGCATATAAATTGAGGTTCATCTTGCTCGGAATTGGCATTGTGTTTTGTTTCCCCCTTACTCTCTGCTATTTAGTTTGGTTTGTAAGTGCTGCTATTTTTGTTTTGTCAACTTAAAGATAGTGGGATAATTTTTTTGTGATGAGTCATGTCATGTGCTTATTATTATGCAGAGACTGGAGCCAGAGAAGAAAAGAATAATATATGGAGGACGGCGCAGGAAGAGGTTTGGAATGCCAGAAGACTATGGATGGGAAGGCGAGTAATGGGAATGGGTTAGAGAAGGAAATTCCTTCTTGTTGTTTGAAGGCATTGGCTTCAGTCCCGGAGTCAGAGGCTAAGTGCCATTCTACTGTTGTTTCTGGGTGGTTCTCAGCTTCTCAAACTTGCTCTGGTCATTATCTTTTATTTGTTTTCCGTTTTTTTCTTTACAATCTAATTGCTGCAGCAAAAGTATTACCGTTGTTCATTACTCCACATTATCTTTTTTTTTTTTACAGGAAAATCCGGAAAAGCTGCGTATTTCAACAACCCAATGTGGCCAGGTGGGTGTTACATATACACCTGCAGTTTTGCACAGTTCGTGTATTATTGCTTCATGTCTATTGGAGTTGGATTTTTTCCTCTTTTATGATGTTTCATGACCTTAATTGCAAACATTTAAAAAAAGAAAATATTTGTTTGATGATTATTGTTAACTTTATATACCCTTGAACCCTCGTAGAGGCTGAAGGGGAAAAGAGAATCTTGTTTGACATTGAAAATTACTTTTGGCTGGAGACTGGCCCAGATGTCTGATGTTATTGCATTGAACATTTGAATCTGTTTTTCTCCTTTTCTTTTGAACTGCAAATAATGATCACCAATGTCCGTATTTTACAGTCATATATAGAAGCTTTCTCTTTGATTGTTCAGTATGTATTTTATTTGTGCATTGTGTACGAAATGATTGCTGCTGATGGCTTTAGTGTCTATCATTAGGAGAAGCCCATTCAATCAAAGTAGAAGAGATTTTATACAAGGAAAAGTCAGAGTACCAAGAGGTCTTGGTTTTTCAGGTTTGGCCTCTTATTATAATGTTCTCTAAATTATACCTTTAAGTGATAGGTGATTAACCCTAATTTTTATTTTGCAGTCATCAACATATGGGAAAGTGCTTGTACTTGATGGAATTGTTCAATTGACTGAGAAGGATGAATGTGCTTACCAGGAGATGATAACTCATCTTCCCCTCTGTTCAATTCAGTCCCCCAAAAATGTAATGTCATTAGATCCAATGATCTTGGTTTGAGTTTATAATCACGACTTTCAATTGAAAAAACTAATTTAATTGCTTTAGTTTCAATTTAAAAGTATGGTTCCTTATCATCATTAATGCAAAATGATATATCAAAAAGTTTAGTGCATTCTATTATGGTACTATTTACTAGGTTCGTAGTCCTTCTTTTTGTTTAGTATATCTGTCAATGCTCCTCCTATATTTGCATGCTTTGGTTATTTAATATATCCTGAGTCTTGACAACCTTGCTGGTTGTTCTTCTTATTTTTTATGCTCTCATCTGCATGGTGGAAAGTAATTGAGATATATTAAAAAATTGTTTTTTTCGTCTCTTTTTTATAACATGTTTAATGATTTCTTATGTTCTTGATACAGGTTTTAGTTGTTGGCGGCGGAGATGGTGGAGTTTTAAGGGAAGTATCCCGCCACAGTTCAGTGGAAAATATTGATATTTGTGAGATCGATAAGATGGTTATTGATGTAAGTAAAGGCACTGTTTTATTCATTAATATAGCTGATTTCATTATTGGGAAAAACTTATTGCGATAGTTATTTTGTAGGTTTCTAAGAGGTTTTTTCCTCAGTTAGCTGTTGGGTTTGAAGATTCTCGAGTACACTTGCATGTTGGTGATGGTATATATTATCTGCTGGTCTTGTTTTAAATTTGAGTTTCTAGATCTGAGTACATTTGTTCTTATTTTCACCCATTTGTGGCAGCTGTTGAATTTCTTAAAAGTTCTCCTGAAGGGAAATATGATGCCATAATTGTTGATTCCTCTGATCCTGTGGGTATGTCATCAATTTAAAATGTTTCATTTAATATATTCGGTTAGAACTGTGTAGTTTTGTATTTAATACTGAACAAAACGTTATTGAGGAATGAAAAATAGTGTTTTGATGAACAACTATATTTTTTCTTCAGTTTTGACATTGCTTAACTAGATGATGTTGACCTGAACCCTTGTAACTCCATTTGACACTCAATTACATACTAGGTCTATTCTCTGCAACTTGTGTTTAGCCTTTATTTACCAGGAAGTTTCATTGACAATTTTAATTCTTTGTGTTGGCTGGTATAATAATATTGATCAACTATCTGCATCTACCTTGCATACAACTATGATTTTCATTGAAAAGTTTCATTTTCTGTGGTTTTCTCATAATTTTTGTTGCTAAATTTTGTGTTATCCGTAAACCTATTAGACACATGCTAATCATATAGAGAGATTTAAGAGATTAAGATTGCTCAATTGTTGGTTATTATATTTAATTATTTACAGTATTACTTTCGTAATTTAGGTCCTGCCCAGGAACTTGTTGAGAAGCCATTTTTTGAGACTATTGCTAAGGCGTTAAGGCCTGGTGGAGTTCTTTGTAATATGGCAGAAAGTATGTGGCTTCATACACACCTTATTCAAGATATGATCTCCATTTGTCGAGAAACTTTCAAAGGTTCTGTACATTATGCATGGGCAAGTGTACCAACTTATCCAAGGTAGTTGTGCTTTTCAATGTGCTGATAAATTAATATCCGCCTCTGTCTACTTTCATGTTACTTTCAGAAATTCATAAATTTTCTCGTCTTTTGCTTCCATCTGGTGCAAGATAGAAAACATGTTTTTTTACAGTGTGGCAGTTACACCTTTTGATGAAGTGAGTGCTACTGCTGTGGGCTGACCATGATAGTGGGACCCAAAAGGTTATGTAGGAAAAATTCTTTACCAGACAAGAACCTTTCTAGTTTTACTATTTTAAAAATTTCATGAATTTGTGCAAAAGGAAAAAATATAAATTTAGGTTAAATCAATCCTAGCTTTTCTGGGTGTGTATCATTGTTGCCTTATTGTGTTTCAAGTTTTAGGCATAAGTTTTCAGCTAACCTTTTTGGTGGGGGGTTTCAATTTTTCATAATTGTAAGTTACTCTTTCTGGTCTTGAATATAAACAAAAAATAAACACTAGTTCACGCTAATTGAAAAAGTTCGTATCATTTAATTGTGTCAGTCTTATCCTAAAAAAATCCTTTTTTCTTAAACTACCCTTCATTTGAATTTAATATGAAGAATTAAAATGAGTTATTGGAAATAAAACCCTTATTAAATGAAGGAATTTTTAGAGATGACATCATTAAATGAGGTAAAATTAGTTAAGATTTGCTTATATTTCAAGACTAACAAACACGAGACTTTTTGTTGCTTGTATTTTTTAGACTTTTTGTTGCTTATATTTGAGAGTGGAGGGAGTATTTGATTTAGGAACTGGGAAAATCGAAATCAAAAGAGTGAACCCTGCTACCGACTTCAAGATTATTTTTATTTTTTTGTTGAGGAATGTAATTTACATTTTGGTTTATGTAGATAATATTGGTGATTGAATGCTGTTTAACATCTACCTTTGCCTGCAGTGGCGTGATAGGTTTTCTTCTATGCTCAACAGAAGGGCCACCCGTTGATTTTGTAAACCCCATCAACCCCATTGAAAAGTTGGAAGGTGCTAATGAGCACAAAAGAGAACTTCGTTTCTATAACTCAGAGGTAAAATATATGGTCTATAGGCCGTCGATGCTTTTTCCTATATAACCTTCATTGGTATCAGTGATCTTTTTACTATATAGAGCATGTGACTTTGTGATTCTCATCAAGGCTTTGATATAAGCCTTCATGTGATAAGAGCTTATTGAATGATTACTTATTTATTTACTTGAACACATCTTAAATGCCAATTGCAAACTCTAGATTTATTCATATGAAGTGAAATTTATGGGTATGGATGCTTTTGCAGATGCACTCAGCTGCTTTTGCGTTGCCTGTGTTTCTGAAGAGAGAAGTGAGTCTGCTCCGTGATCCTGCCCTTCAGTAGCATAACAATGCATGTTTACGTATGTAATTCCTAAATAAGCGATTTTGACTTCATTGTCATTGACAAGTGTGGGATAAATAGGAACTTTGGTGTGATTATTTTTATGTTAACTAATTCGGATTAGCTTTGTTGAAATCTTAGGGTGGTTGTCTCGTATTTAGTTAACTGTTCTATATTAGTTTTTTTCCCTTTCTGAATATGCTTGTAAGACGTGCATTATCAATCACGTAAATTATACGTGGAAATAATTTGTGGTGCAATTCTGGATTTTTTCGAAGTTTGATTTCTTATTGAAATTTTGTTTGTTAATTTGATGAATTGATCGCCAATTTGGAACAATTGCCTGGGTTAATCAAACATGAGATTAGTCTTTTGAATACGTTATTGCTGTGGAGCTCAAATTCAAAAGCCTTGTTTTGTTTGTGCTGCAACCATAGGACATTTAAAATAGATAAAATAAAAAATAATGTAAGTTTATTTTTATATCTATAATGTTGGATTATTTAAAAATAAACGACTGACGTACCAATTTGAAGGCTTACTAAACTTTCTATTGAAAAAGAAAAGTAAAGAGAGAAATGTGCAGGAAATTCTAAATTCATATTAAATAATAAAAGGGATATCATCCTCTCATCTCAAGAAAGACTGAATTAGAAGCAGAGGCAATATGGAGAGCATCCTCTCAGTAATAGTAGCTCCTAAAGAGTATCCTTATTTTTGTTTACTACGTGTATCATGTAATTGAAATTCATGCATATATAAATAAAAGGCATACCTTGTTCTTCCAGAATTTGTTACCATCTTTTAATGATTTACTAATATTTTGTTGCATGTTATGCTTAAAATATTTTTGTTTACGTGTTAAATTTTTAATATTAATAATCGGCTAAATATTAGCCATGAATTATGAGAATACTAAACGAAAGGTACTAAAGGAATATTACCTAGGAATCACATTCTTGACCCATACTCTCAATTTAGTTAAATATTATAAAATGAGTATTTAAAAAAGAAACTTTAGCTTGACTCTCAATTCATTTTTTATACTTCCTCTCCTCCTTCATCCATTACATGGTGATTTCTACGTACATTTTTTTTTTTGGTTCGTCTCTGGAGTATCCACCGCCGACAGCAGTGACTAATCTCCTCGCTACGTTGGAGGCACCTCAAAGGGTGGGATAGCTAGCCCCAAGATTTAACGCGGCTGCATACACAAGGCAGGATTCGAACTCCTGACCTTGCTTAAGCGTGGATCAACCCCTACCGCTGAACCACACGCTTGAGCAATTTTAAGACTAATTTTTAAGCGCGGGTGCATACATGGTGATTTCTACGTACAATTTTAAGACTAATTTTTAAGATTTTATAATTTTTTAAAACTAAATTATTTAAATTATGATAAAATAGGCTACACATTTTACGTCATCATTTAACCACAAGTCACTATATGATAAGTTTATTTACTTTTATAATAATTGAAATTATATCAATAATAATTTTTTCATCATCTAATTACAAATCAATATATTTACTTTTATAATAATTAAATTTATATCAATAATAATTTTTCATCATCTAACCACAAATCAACATATTTACTTTTATAATAATTAAATTTATATCAATAATGATTTTTCATCATCTAATCACAAATTAATATATATGATAAGTTTATTTACTTTTATAATAATTAAAGTTATATCAATAATGATTTATGGTGTTTTTTCTGGACAGCATAATTTATGATTGTTAGACAATATGTAAAACCTGTTTTACATTGTTGTACATAGTTATTAATTAAACCCTTAATCATGTGCATTTACAGAGATTAAAATATTGTTTTATATTTAATAAGTACAACACGAAATGAAATATTGTCTATAGACCAGACAACTTTTGTAGATCAAGACTAAAAAAATTGAGTCAATTTTAAATTATTTTTGAACGGAAGATTATCCCATTTGCGTTTGAAATATCACTTCCATGAATCGACAAGTAAAAAAAAAAAAAAATTAAAAAAATGGTTTATTTTTTCTGAGTTACGTTCACCAATGAAAGCATTTAGCAACAATCATACATTTATGTACAACTTCAGTTTATATTTTATAGACATGATCTTTATATGTTACACTAACTTACAAAATAAAACAAATAAACAAAATGACATTTTTGGCCATCTATCCATAATCATTAATATTTCCACAACTATTGCTCTTCAGAAGTAAAATCAGGCTCAGCAGGCTTCTGCAGCAGCATGGGTGATATTCTCTCAGGCACCCTGCTCTTCCTCGTGCTATTTCTTCGTAAAAGTCTAAGTGCATTAGCTGCAAACCTTGAAGCATATATTGTGGCACCTAAACTGGGTGAACTACCACCTGCTTTGGCCAATGCATCTTGCAACCTATTCTCCTCTTCCCTCAGAGACTCTTCCAGCTTCTTCTTGCTATAGCGCCTCCAGGCTGCTTGTATGAAACATGCAGCCCATGTTCGCCATTGTTGCGAATAGAACCGGAAAGTGTGGCGAAGCTGCTTGCTATGAAGGCGACGGAACTGAGATGCGACAAACTTCAAGTCATCGGCTTTTAGAGCAAATGCTTCCACTTCTGAAAGAGTTTGGACAGTCCTAGTTGATATGGGAAGGTTGGATGTGGAGTGAGGATCTAATGCCCATGTGAGAAGTTCCTCTCCACAGAAGTCACCAGCCTTGAGGTATTCAGAGTTGAAGAAGCCTGTTCTTCCACCATTGGTGGTCACGGTCAATAGCTTGCCTCGCATGATGAAGAGCATCTCGTCAACAGGATCACCTTCCCGGACAATGCAGCTTTCTTCTGTGTATAACACTGGCTGGAGTCGGTCACACATTGCATCCAAAAGTTGCTCATCCATTTTCTCAAACATTGGCACCTTAAGTCCATGCAAGAGAAAGATTAAGTTATTACAAAAATTTCGTACTTGGGAAAACAACTATAGCTTCAAAACTTCCAATAGCAATGATAATTGGTTTACTTTTCAAGGATTGTCTTAAAATTTCAAATCCATCAGACTTTCCCTCTTGATATACCTAAATATTTTCAATTACCAATAGATTATGGATCCTTCTCCAGCCTCCAGGACACACCTAAATAGTTTTAGCTCAACGATCACAACTATGTTTATCATTTCTCCATTCCATTTAATTACACAGGAAACTGCAGTGCTTCAAAATTACTAAGGAAACCATCCCTAATACTCCTTTAGAGAGTTCAGATGTGCATGCAGCACATGTTCAAACAAATTACTAGGAAAAGCAAAGAAAAAATTGCATAAAGATATATGGTAACGCACTTGCATATTTTTATTTAATCAACCTAGAAGCAAAGTTTGGAAAAATCTTAAATTTGTTAAACCAGCATTTCTGTTATATTTATACGCAGGTATCCCATATCTTCCTATCCAATGCCCCAATGGATCAAAGACAGATATACTAAAATAGGCCAAGCATATTTTCATTTTCAATATAAATAAAAAAAAAAGCAATGATCATAGTCACAGTTAAAGAACAATAGTAATACGATATGCAAAAAATTAAGAAAGAGATACCGAGATGCCGCTTAATATCCCTTCTTAAGTACGATATACAAAAAATTAAGAAACTTACCCTCATCAGCAAAGCCAAACAAAGATGCCGCTTAATATCCCTTCTTAAGTCCTTGGGAAGATCTCTAATTAAATTGTCTTCATCAACACCTCTGGTTTCTTGCCATTTGTACTGCTCATGTCGTCTGATTCTTTCTCTCAGACTGTCAGGGAGTAATCGATGAGACATCCATTGTTCTGCGTCTCTCCTTTTCACCCTCATTTCCTCTAATCTGGTAGTCGTTGACTGCAAATATGTCTGTTTCAAAAGAATAATATGATGAGTCAAAAAGTAGAAGAAAATTTGGCCCAGGGGTGGAACTAGTTTCCAAGCAGAAATGTGGAAATAAAAAAATGCGGACCAAGATTTTAGATATATATATCTAAAATATGATCAGAAAAAATAGATAATTCTGGAAGAGGAAGAGCATTAGAAACAGATATTGTAGTCCATGCCTACCTGAAGAGAATAACAGTAACTTAATATACAATAATTTTAACTGTTCTCCCTATTTCAGGCAACACTTGCAGGCACAAGGCAAATAACAACATTTGAGAAACTGGAAATTTCAAATGCATGTGTTTCCTTAAAATCCAGTGTAAGATTAAGACTATTTCTTTGGGAAGAATATTTTCTCACAACAATAAGTTATAGAATTGATAATGACATCTACTTCACCAGGAGGACAACCCAGAAAAACGAATTCCACAGAATCTGATGTTCACTCCCCAAAAATACTTCAAAATTATTACTGCAAATTCACACTATAACAGTAATTGCTCTAATTCTTATTGCAAAAATTGATTTATGATGTCGTGTTTCACGAGGAAGTTTCCAAAAGAGAAAATCTTAATTAACTAACAAAAAAAGAATTACAGCACCAAAAAACAGCTAATATAAAAAGATGGAAGGAGACGGATCACAGGAGGAAAATATGGTACTCCAACCATTTTATTTGTAAATTAACAAATACTGCTACTTGCCAGTATTATTGCTTGATTAACAGACAATAAAAAGATATTTGACACCAACCTGCATATTTCCGATGAGGAATGCAAATAATACCAAACCAGCAATTGAGATGAAAATTGCAAAGCAGATTTCCCAAACATAGGTACTCGTTGCAAGGTTCTGACCAAGAGAACTGCAATAGACGGAGGAATATTAACAGAATGCCAGATAGCTTGATAACAATATGCTCAACAACAAAATCAAAATTGAAATCATATTAAGGGGGTGCATTTGATTAGGATTTCAATGGACTTTAAAAGACTTTTTTATTGTAAAAAAGTTTTGTGGTATTCAATCAAGACATTTTTTTTAATATAAAAAAGTCATGTGATATTCAATTAAAACAATTAGGATTTTTTTTAAGAGTTCCTTAAAATCTGGTGGTATTCAATTAAAAAAATCACAATTTTTTTAAGAGTTCATCAAAATTTGGTAATGTTCAATTAAGACTTTTTTGTTAATTAAATAAAGTCTGTTGGTATTAAAAAATATATAGATTTCAATAGACTATTTTGAATATTGGATTTTTGAGACTTTTTAAGTATGATTTACATGTAATTCACTCATCAAACAATCACACCAAAACTTGAGATTTCGCATGACTTTTTTCCCTTTCTATTTCTACTTTTTTTTTCTCTCTTAAATATTTTCTCTCGCTTTTCTTGCTTCTCTCCAATTTTTTTTCTCTCTTTCTCTCTCGCCATTTTTGCTTCTTTCTCTTCTTTTCTCTTTCTCTTTTTATTTATCCCTTCTTTTTTATCTCATATTCTTTTTTCTCTCTCCTCTCTTGCCCTTCTTGCTTCTCTTTCTCTTTTTTCTCTATCTCTTCTCTTTCTCTTTTTATTCATCTCTCATTTATCTCTTTTTCTTCTATTTTTATCTGTCAATTGATGGATAACTTATCAATATTTGTTTTTTAATTATTAAATATTTGAAATGATTTTTATATTATTAAATAGTATCTATTATTAAATTTTTTAAATTATTAAAATTTAACTATTTATTTTAATAAAATTTAATATCGAAATATAAAATTTTGAAACACATATTAAAAAAATTTGCAAATCATGGTAGACCCTCAAAATGAAAATGAAAATTTAATTTATGCCATGTATCCTTAAGAAATGTGATTGAGAGGATATTTAGTATTTTTAAATCACACTTCACAATTTTTGAGCCAAGACCTCAATTTCTATTTAAGACACAAATTGAACTTGTATTAACATGTAACGTTACATAACTTTTTTTTTTACAAAGAATGTCATTATAATGATTTTTCAAATGAATTAGTAGATGAATCTTTATTTTTAATTCTACCGGTTAATGAAGACTATAATTTTAAATATATTGTTTAGACTCAAGTGCATGAAAGAGAATATTTCAATGTATTGAGGGCTTGTATAACTTTAGATATGTGAATAAATTTTGATTAAAAGGATATTAAAGACAATTATTTGTCAAAAGATAAAGACAATTATTTATCAAAAGATAAAGACAATTATTTGTCAAAGATAGAAAAATTGTATTGATTTTACTTTTCTTTCTTATTTATGTTATATTTTTATGATTAAATTTCGTAATATTACAAATCCATGTTTTCCTATGAAATCCATAAAATCTTATAATATAAATCCATCAAAATCCATTAGAATATGAATTACAAAGTCTTGATTAAAACCCAAGTTTTAAAGGTATTTTAAAAAAAAATTAAAAGTCATACATTCCTACGAAGTCTTTTAAAATCCATTAAGACTTTTTCATGCTAAAATTTTCTTTTGAAATCCCAATTCAATACATCCCCTAAGATATGATATGAATAGTATGAAACTTCAAAATTGATAACTGATTGATGCCTCTCCCAGTCCCCCACCTCACATTTGTTGCATTAAACAAATTCAAAACTGAAGGCAACCATTTTCCACTTCTAAGCACCAAATCAGAAGTAATCCAACTTATAGATTATGCAATTTTTGTCATTGAAAATTAATGCCTTTCAATTCAAGAAAAATCGGTACAGAATCAGATATGAAAAACATACTTAATACTTGTCCACTTTATCTGCAAATATTATATGCCCAAACAAACCCTCAAAACACATGCATTTCACACACAAAACACCTGGGAAATGATTCATTTATTGAGTATACACACATTAAATGGTAGAATATTTTAATTCAAGGGATGTCGGTAAACAGAGCTATAAGAAACAATTCTATGATATGAGCATGCAGACATATGGAGTCCAAGCCCAACTACAGGTTCCTAGCATCACACTCATATCAACTCAACACAGTTGTCATCAAAATCATGAACACATTGCAATGTATGATTACTGCATAATCTTAAAATTAATAGCATATAATAAAAATAACCAATAAAGCACACCTCAAATTTCTTAGGCCCCACCAAAAACAATAGAAGAACTTCTGTGGGAAATCTCTTGACTCCACAACTCCAGATTGAAGGGCATCAAGAAATATTCCAAAATTAAACAGTGTTGTATTTTGATCCTGTATTGGGCAAGAAGCATTCAGGAATCCTGAAATTGTGCCCACACCTCGATGATTATCACAATACATTTCTGCTGTATTACATGTGCTATTTCTTCGACATGCATGTTGCCAGCATGTGGTTTCTCTTTCTATAGAAAACAAGTACCAAAAGGCACCAATAACCTACGAGTAACAAATAAATCATCGGAGAGAAGCAGATGATATTGTAGAAAAGGAGATAATAGAGACTAAATACTCTGAAATTGATATTAAGTTGATATAACATCAAATGACGAGTTACAAGACATAAAGCACTAATTCGTATTTATGCCAATACTATATAATAATCCTAACTAAATAAAGAAATAAAATCATTAAATATTGTGAAGTATAAAAACTAAGCCAAAGAGATCATCTAAAATTATTTTAAATAATTCTAAGATGAAATCAAGATAATGAAGATATTATTGGATGCCCTTCAAACTACAGCAGTACAGCTTACAAAGCTTAAGTTTTAGCTTGTAACAACTAAACCTTTTTAAAAAGGAAAACTATAACATGGGATCCACTAAACTTGGATGCAAAGGCAACTCAAGGATGTTGGAGACACTAGAGATAGTATTGCTGGAAAGAAATCTAGTAGAATGGCCGGAATGATCATCAACATAAATTTCCTAATCCTCATGCATCACTACTACTAGTGAAAATAGGAGAAATCACCATTGGTATAATTCACAATAGGAGGATGGTGTGAATCACAACCAGTTCATCATTGTATGACTCATTCTTGGCCACAAAATGATCATTGGTGGATGGCAGAAACTAACAAGTTGCCAAAAGGTTGATAGAAAAAAGGCTACTGATCCCCGAAACAGAGTGGAAAAAGTAAATAATAAATTTAGTACAAAGCAATATGACAAAATATTATTCAGTAATATACACAAGAAAAAGGAAAAAGAAAAGCTGCAGCATAAACTTACATGACTTGCTAGCATGTAAAGAAAGAGATTGAATGCAGCTCCAGCCCAAGCTGTTTCGGTGAGAATGCCAGAGGTTCTAGTAACTTCTTTATATAATGGAATTATTCGTAAAAACCGTGGGATATATTGGAAGAAGACGATAAATTTCAGCAAGGTCTTCGTATTCAGTGATTCAGAGCCTCTCAACTTTGGAATGATAATTAGAATTGCCACCTATCATTATAGGAGCAGGTGGAGTCACAATAAGCTTATTGAATTAACTCAATGATATATATATATATATATTAAGCCCACAAAAATACGAATATATTAATCTTGGAGGATCAAACTTATCACTTATTACAATATATTTTTTGAACAAGTCCACATTTTTTGTACTGGACTTTATTAATGCAATCATTTGGTACAATAATAATGACAGCAAAATGTGTCAACTTCCTAGAAAGAGAGAGCATGTGAAAACAAAATTTGGATTACATTCACACACAAACTCATCAACCCATAGTTCTTGAACAGTTATAGGGATGTACAAAAGATGAAAGCCAAAAAGTCCAACAGCAGCTAGAATTTCCTTACCTGTGGGAGGGGAAGAACGGCAAGAATGTCGATTAAGAAGTATGATGACAGATACCTCATTGCTATTGCCCAAGCATCTTCAACCAAAACACCTCTTCCAAATACTCGAGAAGAGGGAGCAATGAATCCAGTACGAAATTGGAAAATTATATGGATTATATAAAAAATGTCAGAGAAAGATCTTAAAACAGTTGCTGTAATTTCCATTTTTCTGTCCAGTGAAAGACATTTCTTGTTATCATCAATCACAGGAACATAGAAAAACAAAGGATCGAGGGATACAGCAATAAGACATGATAATACAAATATCTTATTCCACTTTTGAAGGAAAGGACCTTGTGGATCAAGGATTTTCTTTCTGGAACTAAAACTTCCAGAAAGAACTCTATTATACGGAAGAGATTTGAATGATTTTCTAAATCTCTTTATCCCCTCTGAACTAGATTCCAAACCCCTTTGAAACTTCTCGGAAACTGACCATAGTGTATTCCTAATTCTCCCTGAGCGTGCTACATGAATTGCAGGAGAGTTGCTCTCAGAACCCTTGTCTGAATTCCAATCCCGAAATCTGAAAATCATATAAATAATATAAAACTCAGACTATGATCAACCACCTAATGAGCAATATTTCCAAAGCAGGGACAATTGAACTATGAAAGAGACATACAAGCACAGAAGTGATTATTACGGAATAAAACTTCTGAAAAAGGGTAACAATTTGAAGTTTTTAAAGCATTTTGATATTGAAGAGTGGTAACTGAAAAGTGGTTCCAAAAGTTGAGACCAACAAAAGGGAAGCCTTTATCACAAGCATAAAAGACTTGCTTCCAGTGACAACTAACATCACACAATAGAGAAAATAAAAGTAAGCACCATGAAACTAACCTAACAAATTTGTCTTGCTGAAAATTCATGACTGAACGTCCTAGTTCAAAAGCAAGGTAGAATTCAATGAATCAGTGTAGTGCAAACGTCACAGGACACTGAATAGCTTCTTCATGCACCTTAAAATCTCACAGCCTACTCCTGAAATAATAGAAACACTCACCGTTACATACTTCAATTATCAACCAAAACACAGACAAACTCATCCACAGCATCATCAACAGGGTAAAATAGTAGCCCAAGCACCTTCCCATATCTTGATCCGACATAAGCGACAATTAGCAAAAGCATAATAAATCCAGAAACGAAATAAAACATCCAATAATAGCCGACAACAGAGACATTAAAAAAAATAATAAAAAAAATAAGGGCGATAGCCAGAAATATAGTCTCCCTCAAAATATCAGCACGCACTTAGCAGTACACATCATCACGATACGGATGGCTACCGTGTGTGTAGGAATTACTAAAACAGTGCACTATTAATCAGGGACGAAATTCCAAACATAATAAATGAGAGAGTTTAATTTTACTAGGTCAACCATTCAGAAATTATTGACATGCCTTTTAAATAGTTACGTTAAAAACAATCAAACATATCGTACAGGCAGAGTTTATGATCTGATGACAATTCAGTGTATAAACCATTCACTCCAATAATAACAATATAATAATAATTCCATAAAACGAAAACAAATTAGTACCCTGGATCCTCGTAGAAATTAAATAACCTAATTAACTGAACAATGAAATTCGCAGCCGAGTCAGAGGAGAAACAATTGAGAAAGCAAGGAAGCAGTTACAGAGAAGAAGAAAGTGAGAGTGAATACCGGAAAGGAAGTAACGAAGCAGAGAGAAAGAGCGTGAGATTGCGAAGAATGAAGAGAAGAGATTGTGATTGTGTGTGTGTGAGAGAGAGAGAGAGATAGGACTTAGGAGAAGGTTCGTGGAAAGCGGGAAGGGCGATGGATAAAGAGAGACAGTTGGTGTTGAGGATGGAACCGGAAGGAAGAGAGTCTTGTCTGTCGCTGGCCCCACCCTCCCCAGTTTTAATTATTATTATTACTCTCTCTTCCTCGTCTTCGCCATCGTTCGTTACTTAGTCTCCTCGGTCAAACACTGCAAGTTGCGCTGCGCTGCGCTGCGTTGCGTTATCATAAACTTCTAATTGTTTACCAACTCACCTAAACTTTTGATCATAAAAATATATATATACAATTTTTTTGTATTTTATAATACTAGCAAAAAAAGTACATTAAAAAATTATTATTATTTTTCTGAACATTATAAAAAGTAAAATAGTAAAAAAAGAATTACAGAATATAAATAAGAAAAAAATGTCTGTATTAAAAATAGAAATTAAAAACAGTTACTAAAAATATATCGTTTTATATTGTAGTATAAGTTATTTATAATTTAAGGAATATTTTTTCTCGTGACTTGTAAATAAGCATTAATATCAATGAATGCGTTCATTTACATGCAAAATAGATTGATATTTATTAATAATTTTTACAATAAATTAAGAGTATGTTAAGAAATTAATAATTAATAATATTGCGTCTTAAAGATCTTCATTTTCTTGATAATTGAAAAAAATACACATGTTTATTACTCATATAAAGTATTATTAGAAAGAGTAATGTCAGGACTTTTGTTTGTAAATTGTAACGGATTCTTCGTCTTCTAATATTAAAGCACCTTCAACGCAAGGTTTTTATTTCACTTTTTTATTAAATACTATTACTTAATAATATTTTTTTTATTGTAGTATATGTTCTTCAAACATTAGGTAGTTATATAAGCACCTCTCAAAATAGGATCTTGAAAATTATGAGCTCATTTGTGTGTATTTTTAATGAAATAAAAATATAAAATAAGAATCATGAGGTTATTTCACAGATCCATTTAGTAAAAAATTTAGAGCTACTAGATTGAAGAAGTAGTTTTACTTCAAATTGTTCTAAGAAAAATAACATGGAAAATTTTCAACCTTTTTGCATCTAGTTCTAATGTTTCAAGTTGAATAGACCACTCTAAAATTTTCCATACAAAGTAAAATGACAATCGAGCTGTAAGTAAACAACATAAAAGTCGATTATTTACTCAATAAGTCAACAGATAACTACTTATAATAAATAAATTCTCCTAATATATCGCAAATGATTTGGGGCTAGTTCTATACGGTTTTCAAACCAACGCACAAGGTAGATACAATAATTCTAACTAAATAATCTTTTTAATTAACTAAATCTAACAAAAGTCAAAAATCAAACAAAATCTAATAAAAATAATTATTACTCTTTTTAATTAGTATTTCTTCTCATTTTTTCCCCTCACTTGTAACTGATTTTTCGCTCACTTTATTCACAAGTAAATACTAAACGCATGCAAACCCCAAAAAAAAAAAAAAAAAAAACGCTGTTTGGTCCGAAGTCAACTTTGTACGAACTGTACAAAACAACACGGTATTGTCATTTTTTTGTTTTTGACCGAAACACATTTCATTTTTTTTAAAAAAGAATAATTAATTAATTAATTTTGACACAACAATGATGATGACGAAATCTATAGCGTTGTTTAGAAAAATACTACTCCTTCAACTTATATATAAAATAAATAAATAAATAAAAAAGGAAATTCGCATAGACTAACGAAAGAAGCTAAATGTATTTGATTTTCACAATTTTATATAAAATACACATTATATTTATTAAAATATTATTAAACATATTTATTATAGATAGAATATTTATTTATTATTTTAAAAATATTTTTAAATTAAAAATAAAAATTAAATATTTTTATTTATATATAAGTTTATCGGAAGTAGATAAAAAACTATCATCCTTTTATGTTTTTTTTATAATTTTTTTTAATTATGTTATTGGTTTGAAATAGAGTCATATACTAATATCTAAAAAAAATTGAGGCTTAATGCAAATTTGGTAAGTCTTACTTTAGTATAATTCAACATATTATTTCATTATTCTAACTTTTTTAATTGAAAATTTGTTAATTAAGGGGTAACAATCAAATAGTTTTAATGATTAATTTAATTGTAATTTATTTTGTGTCAAAAGAATTATAATTCATTCTATCATTATCTTGTAACATAATTTATCTCAATTGAATCATAAATAAATAAATAAGTTTTGAGGTATGGTTGAGAGGTTATGAGAGTTAAGAAAATCCCCTAGGAGTCTTTAAGTGATTTAGGATTTTTCTAGACAAAGATTTAGTTTGACTATGAGAAAAAAAATATATAAGGATCTTTTTAGATTTGAGCCTTATAAACTTATTTTCTCAAAGAACCTTAGAGAGAAGGTAGTTAGAGATGCTCTAGAATCCTTAAGACTTCTTTCTTCCTTGTAAGAGACCATCTTTGATCCATGGTGGGTGTTGATTCAAAGTTCATTACTAAGAATCAAGGTGTGTCCTACGCAGTTATTGTCAAAGCCATTATTATTCTTCTTCTTTTCCTTCCTCTCTTTAGCTTTGAGGTTAGGTAAAAGGAATCTATAACTAGTTGCATGTTAAATTGTTGAATGGTTGGGCATGAATTGGGTGTTGATTAGGTGTAATGGTGTTGTTGATTTGCATGAATTCTTTTGATGAAAGTTGAACTTGGTTGTTTTTGGTTTTCAAGAGAAAGATATTGTGATCTTGAACAAATTGTTGTTTCACGTGTTATATTTGGTTGGAAATGAGTGATTCATGAATTGTATATGTGAATTATGTTGTTGTATGCTTGGTTATCTGATGTTTAGGTGGCTTTGAGTCAAATTTGCGAGTCTACAAGTGCAAAACTCACTATCGTGCCAAGTGTGTCTTCATGGTGCGAGCGTGGTTTCAATAAGAGGTTCTCTGTCTGCCTAACGTTGGGTGGATGATTGAATGGCTTTGGACGTGAGGTGAGAGAATTGGCTCTACTTGGATTGACGTCCGACATGAGGAGAGAGACTCGTCTTTACCAAGATTTAGGTTGAGTGTGTGATAGTGCATTTTGGGAAGCAACTTTGTATGCATTTATTTGACCTTTTTGACCTTTGTATGTGTCTTATATTCATGTTTTGGCTTAGATTTATGATAGTTGTATTATTTGATGATTGTTGTAATTTTTACTCAAATTTTGGATTTTTACCCACTTTTACACTTTGTTCTTATGCAGGTCATATATAGAGCTGATAGACCATGGGCCAAGGGCCCAGTGACCAGAGCTATGGCTAGGAGGATACAGGAAGAGCTGGATATTGAGAAGACTAATGGGCTTGTCAAGCCCAAGGTAATCTTCACTTGGAATGCTCTATCATAAAGAGAAGGCCTTAGTTCTATTTGTTTATATTGTACAGTTTATGCATAGTATTTTGTATAGGTTATTTTGCCTTTGTATTTGTGAGGCACTTTACTTGCTTTTTCCTAGTGATTGTATATTGTTTTTAAGGTAGGCTACTTGGAGAGTTTAGCTCCATTTAACCTCCCTAGTTGATACTTTCATTTTGTATTTTTTTAGTAGGGAAAAGGGGGTGACATTTAGCAATGCTTGAGGGTGTGCTTAGAAATTGGGCCTGAGTTGGGCCTAGGCAAAATTTTACATATTGGACTCATTTTGCTCCTAATTTTTCATAGATTTGATTTAGCTAGGTTTCATCATCAAATGATGAACCTAACTAAACCAAATCAAAGATTTTCAAATCAATTCAAGGAGCATTTTGAACCATGGGCCGCCTAGCTTGTTCCTTCTCCTTGGCCGAATTTCTCAAGCATTCCTTCTTGAGTTTGAAGCTTGTCTTGCAAGCTTCTAAACTCAAGCAAGGTTAGCTTACCTTACCATGGTTCCTAAGTGAACCATGGTCAAGGTTAGCTTCTCCTAGAAGCTAGCTAAACCGTGGGAGTTTAAGATAACCCTACCATGGTTCCTAGTGAACCATGGTTAAGGTTAGCTTCTCCTACAAGCTACCTTACCCTATATATTTGATTTTCCTACACTTGTACTCACTTTTGACAAATTTGAGAAATAAAATCTGAATTTCTCTCCCACTCAAGAGTCATAAAACCGTAGAGAGTTCTCTCCTAGGTTTTCTAGCAAAGTTCTCCAACTTTGCTTTGGTTCCTCAAGCTTCCTTCACAAGCTTTAGGAAGTGGCCGAACCTCCTCTTCAAGGCTTCTCCTCCATGGAAGCTTCTTTCATGGAGATTCAAGCTTCTCCAAAGGATTAACCTCAAGAACATTCGGTCCAAGCATGGAGGAGTTGAAGTTCATCAATCTTCTTCAACTTAGCTCCATCAAGAGCTCTCAATATCGAATTTGGACTTTTTTGGTGTCTATGGAAAGATAAAAAAGAGAGTTCTACAACTTCTCTATTGGGATCAAAGGCTAGTTCAATTGTTAAGGGACCTAAAAATGCATTGCAAGGTTGCGATCGTGTGCAACATTTTCTGTTTATTTTTAGATTGTAATGTTAGGATTTTTTTAGTGATGTAATTAGTTGATTTAGTGGGCTACGCCTTTAATTACTTAGATTAGGCCCATTATATTTATCTATTAATAGGTGTTGTAAGACTTGTTATATACACTATACACTTCATTTTTCAGAATTTAGATTTCTTGCTTTAGAAACTTTTTTTTTTCTTTCAACTCTCTTCTTTCTCTTTCACGAATTCCTCTATATTTTGGCCAGACTCTTCATCTTCTCTCTGAATAGATTTGTGCGTGGACAATGATAGAGATGCACAACTAAGTTCTCTTAATTGATTCAAGTTCTCGATTATGCGGTAAAATCTTCTCAAATCTGAATTCCTCTCTTCTCTTTTTTTCTGTTCTTCAATTAATTTTGAATTAAATTCATGATTATGGATTTTATTTTTTGATTAATTAAAGAACATAATTAATTTTAGAACATCGAATTGGATTCAATTTGGATTGGAACAATACAAAACATATTTGTCTTCGTAGGGTTTTCATGGAGCATGATTGCGTTCTTCATTCTTTAATTTAAATTAAATATTAAATGTTGGAATTTGGATTTTAAAATTCGTGATCTTGAGAGTTTAAATTTCAATTAATAATTACTGCACATAAAGTGTTCAATAAAAATTTCCCTCTCTAATTCTTGATCAAATTCAAGTTCCTGTGAATTGTGTTCTCTATAGAGATGACCTAGGTTGT